CCGTTCCAGTGCTCGATCATTTGTCTTCTTTACCAATAGACGTCATTATGTCATGAAATCCTGCAAACCTCGTTGCCTTTGATTGGTTCAAAGAACAAGACAGTCACACCATCAACATCGAGACCTTTTCAACCACCGGTCATGTCACTCACTCTGTTTCTAGACTACCCCACAAAAAGTAATAAAAGGGTAGGAAATGGCGCCCGCAGAGTCGACGTACCACTCGCTGCACTTCTTCCTCCAGTGATGTCGCCTTCAGGTCCAACTGTTTGGCCCGCACACGAAGTCTGTTGACTTCCCGTTCGGCGGCCTGCTTCTCGACATCCAGCGCTTCCAGGGCCCTAGTGGAGAATGTAGTCAGTTCAGCTCAGGGGAAGGGAAAGAGAGGGGGAGGGTAGGGCAGTGACTTACTTTATCAACTTCTCAAGACAGTACTTGTGTAATTTTTCGCATTTATGCGTCTGAGCCGATAACTTTGATCGCAGACCTTCAGTCTTTGATTTGATGACTTCCAGTCCCTACGCCAGAAATCAGGAAAGGCGGGGGGGGAGGGCGGTTAGCAATCCAAAATGCAACAGAAATAGCCTTTAAAATGTTGGGAATGTAGAGAATTGCCCAAAAAGTGTTATACCATCAGTCCTGTGATTTGCAGGCGGCGTGGGAACAAAGACTATGACTGAGTATTAATCCCCCCGAGAACTACATTAACACTGTAATCAACTCAAGATTTCAGCCCCCCCTTCACCACTGTAAGGAGGTTGCCGATGAACGATTGAAAACGTGTGTTTGCCAATCTAAATTATCAATGGTGTAACAGGGGAATTTTCGTAGACCTAGCGGAAACAATACAAAGACACGGGCTAGTACCTTTTGTCTCTCCTCAATAGTCTCCTTTATTTTCAGGAAACGGCGGTTGGAGTCCTCTAGAGCCTTGTGAACCGTCTCAGCCTCGCTGCACGTCGCCGCTAGCTCCTCTCTGGCCTGGGTAGCAGCGCTGTCGAAAGCCATACAGGAGCGGCACTTCAGGTCCAAAGCCTCCTCGAAGGTATTTTGGTAGTTGGCACAGACTGGTCTGGAAAGGCACAGGGAGTGTGGCAGTAGGGATATAACAGTCGCAGGGAGGTGTCAAAAAATCGGGGGAAAGGGTGGGTTCACCGCTTTCACAAGAGAGAGACAGGCATTAGCCTAACGCACCCGCACACACTATGAAGCCTCCAGCTGGTACCGTGTTATTTTTAAGACGAACATCCATCATTAACATATGTTTGGTCTACATTGACAATAAATGCGGCAAAGCCGCCTGCAGTTAGATAGCATCATGAGATGGCTACCATCCTCTGTTCATTGACCTACCCCAGTAAGACCAATCAACGAGAGGGAAGTGACGCTCCCCTCGGAAGACTAATGCTACCAATTCATAATACGTTAAATATCGGCCGT